GGTATATTCTACTATAGTTACAATAAGGAATCCCCAGAATACTATTGGTAATTATCGATTTAGGCTTCTATATTAAGGGCCGTTCCCAAGAGATTGCCCGGGTTTAAAGTTGGGTTTAGGGTAGGGTGCAGGGTAACCGGAGCCTGAGGGGATTGGCTTCAGGGCTTGGGGATTAGGGTTTCGTTTTCAACGCTTTGCCTTTGGCGCTGCCTTGCTTGCTTGGGGCGAAACACTAGGATCCTTGCTAATCCGACTTGCCCCACCAGAAAAAGGGTGGTTCCGATTTTAGCATTGCGGTGCGAGAAGTGCAAGGCATGCTGTTCATGGATCCGCTGTTGAGCTTCTTCTGGGGAGGCTGATGTTTTAAGCCTGCGGCAAGGCCCATGCCCACATCGCAGGGATCTTGTCGGGTTTATAGGGTGAAGGAAGGCGCCCGGGACCCGAATCCGGTCTTCAGAAGTCCCATTGTGGCATTCCGATGTAAACTCCCCATTCTTCAACCCCTCTCCTTCTGCAATTCAATAAGGATGAACATTCGCAAAGGATGATGTGCTTTTCAGGAGAGTTGAGCGTGGGTCTGTACCAGGCCACAAACGTACGATTTCACTGTTTGTAGCCCTTAAGCCTAAAATCCCAAACCCTAAACCCTAAACCCTAAACCCTAAAATCCTAAACCCTATCCCCTCTGTTGGGCTCAAGTCGAGCCAGGCCTCGAGCTGCAATCATCGTGACTGAGGCCTAATGTGGGGGCCTTAATAATTAGAATCGGGTTGTGGGGTATATTTAGACTATAATCATAATAAGGAGCCCCTATTACCCTATAATCATAATAAGGAGCCCCAAATAATATCAAAAAATACTACTGTATTGGTAATTAATCATTAAACTTCCACAAACCTGCCAAACCCCGCAACCCCCAACCTTTTCCCTGGCAGCCGAGACACAGCAGCACGGTCGAGCTGCGTCCACCCGAGGAGGCTTTGAACCGGTAGGCCCAGGAGCCATCCTTAAAGACGGACTTCGTGGGGCACCTGTGAGCACTCTGAATACTAGGTTTAGGGTTTAGGGATGGTTTCAGGTGTAGGTTTCGTCGGGGTTTGGGGCTTCAAGGATCACAAGAAAACTGATTCCCACCTAAACGGAGATGATGAGTCCTATCCCGGAAAGGGCTCATCAAGGTTTATATGGTCTTGGATATGGAGCCCCATCTTTGTGTAAGGAACCACTGGTCCTTCAGATAATCGTCACAGGTTTGCCCATAGGCCCCATAGTAGTTCCTTTTGGGGACTACCTTATAGGATTCTAAATATCAACCCCAATAAGGAACTACTATGGAGCCTATGGGTGGAGTGAACTGGGTAAGATTTCAATCGCGCATTTCCTGGGCTGTCGGAATTGGGGGTTGAAGTCTTCAGCTTTCGGGTTGGTTTAGGGTTTAGGGCGTATAGGGTTTAGGAGTTGAGGGCTTATAGGGTTTAGGGTTTAGGGCTTATAGGGTTTAGGAGTTGAGGGCTTATAGGGTTTAGGGTTTAGGGCTTATTGGGTTTAGGAGTTGAGGGCTTATAGGGTTAGGGCAGTGTCAGGAAGCTTTTGAACTCTTATCGTCTTATCCGTGACATCCGGTCCGGGAACTTTTAACCTGAAGCTGACAAACACGCTAGCAAAAACTTAATCCTGGAACATCAATCAGATACCCCAACCCCCGAAACCTAAACCGTAAAACCAAAAACCCTAAACCCCCAAGCCCGGAAGCCTAAGCCGTAGAATCAAAACCCCTCAACCCTTAAACCCTAAACCCTCAAGCACCGAAACCTAAACCGTAAAACCAAAACCCTAAACCCTCAAGCCCCGAAACCTGAGCCGTAGAACCAAAACCCCTCAACCCTTAGACCCTAAACCCTAAAGCCCCG